GTGTATTCTCTGTAGAGAGACTTTAAAAAAAAAAAAATCAATAAAACATGTACGTTCACCAGCGGTGTTCAAACTTTTTTTAAACACCTGTATATGGACAGATGTGATAGATATGTGACAATAGTATCACAGTATCTTGTGGTCAAGATAATTCTGCAAATGAATATGCTTTTCCCAGCACTTCCAATAGCTACTAATCTCATCCAAATGGAACAACAGGATATTTTCTCAATTAAACATTCGTAGATAAGCAGCTTGTTTCAAAATAAAGCTCAGCTGCAAAAAACCATCACTGAAAACAACAGACAAGTCAAGATAAGGTTAGCATGATACACTATATTGCCTTCAGGTGTTTCTGCAACACCTATTGCTAACAAGTGTATAAAATCAAGCACAAAGCCATGCAGTCTGCATAAACACTGACAGGAGAATGAGTTGTTCAAAAGAGCTCAGAAACTTTAAATGTGGCACTGTCATAAGATGCCACCTTCGTCATAAATCAGTTTGTGAAAGACAGACAGACAGAAAGCCTGTAATTTTGTAATGTTATGTCCAACAAGTTCATGAAGGTGTGACGGCCAGTTGACCACATATCTTTTCCCATAAAGTGAATATGAAAATTCTATGTATTGCGTACATACTCAGCACCAGACATGACATGCACCTGCTGCACACAGGATTGCTGTGTAGGACAGTGGTGATACCTAGTTGATTTAGAGTCAGTATTAAGACTTTTGCTAGAGTACTCAAGGATCTTCACTGAACTTTCGTCTAACAATTTAGCTTGAGCTTAATGTGTGAGAGCAGTTTCTCCTATCTGCCCTTCATCTTATCGCATTTGCTGCCTGCCCTGGAGCAAAGACACATTAGTTAACCCCACACTGCTCCAGCGGAGTTCAGCACCTCTGTCTGTCTCAGCCCTTCACTTCAGCACAGCAGCCTTGAAACAGCAAGACTGCTCCCTGTCCCTGCTAGGAATAAAGACGATTTTTAAAAATTCTAAATCATGAACTGCCAGACAATGTCCTTGCTCCATGTGTGTGTTTTTTTCAAGGGAGCAGGTGCAGTTCTCAGGGTCACTCACAGACCAGCGGGACTGAACAACTCAGCCAAGTTCAGAATACAAATACTCCAACAATACAGATCATTCATATTCACTGCCATGCTGTATAATTCATGTACAGCAGGCCAGCTAGTACACAGAAGGAGATGTGAGCTGCTCTCCATTAGACTACAGAGGTGCTCTTGATGTGCCCCGAGGAGCTTTACAAGTGCACCAGAGCCCTCGAGGCCTAATAATACAAGAACACACATCTGGTGAGTATGAAAGGTTCACAAGATCAAGCTATTGGGCATTAGGGATTCTTCATCAGTGCATTTCCAGTACTGGCGAGTGAAAAAAGGACAACAGCACTAGAAAATGCTGTGTGTGTGTGTGTGTGAGAGTGTGTGAGAGTGTGTGTGTGAGAGAGAGGGGGAGGAGGAACTGCTGAATCAATCACAGTAAAATGGATGGGAATCCTCACTCTCTTTCTCTCTCGGGTTGGGTGACTAATTAATCAGTCTGCCATTCATGTGTGGGCCATATGCGTATGTGTAATTCTGTCTCCTATTCGGTCTCATGGTTTTGTGTGGGTTGTGTGTGTGTATGTTAGCAGGATGTGGCTTTTAAGAAAATAAATGTCTGTGCTGCATTCCAGAGTTTGCTGAGCAATTTCACCATAATGACCTCACTTATCATCAAATCAGCATCCAGCCCAATTATGTCACAAAGTGAAATTCTCCCCTAAACTGTTCCAGATAAATGTAGGCATCTGTACACAGCAAGTGGTGGGAAAGTGGTGGGGGGAGGGGGGGAGAGAGAGAGAGAGAGAGAGAGAAAGAGAGAGAGAGAGGAGAGAGAGAGAGAGAGAGAGAGAGAGAGAGAGAGAGAGAGAGAGAGAGAAAGGGTGTGGGGGGTGCAGGTATCCATGCATTAACAGTACAGATCAATAAAAATTAGTCTGGCTTTGAATTTTTCCTCCATAGTCCAACAATCTGAAAAACAGTCCGTAATAAATGCATCAGGGCCATCACTGTTGATTACATTCCTGAAAAAATTAATCTCATAATTATTGTGACGATTAATCCAGTAAGCAGAGTTTTAAAAAAGGGCTAAATAATAAAAAAGGAAAACATCCTTGGCCTTTCAAAGTTTTCAAAATACTTGAGCGACTTTATTGAAGGAAATGTTGAAACATTTTGTCAAATAATTAAAGCACCATGTGGCAAAAATATGTCTGTTACTGTTCTTACTGTAAGAGTCGCCAGTTAGAGAATTTAAAATAATCACTTACAAATATTTTATCTGCATTTTTGTCATTTTTATCATGATTTTATAAAGAATCTAAAAACACCAGCTGGCCTTTACAATGTGATAAACTTCATGATGAGTGGAGCAAAAGAAATGTTCCAAAATGACTCCTAATATTTGACTTCCATTAAAAGCTGTGAAAGTTGTCTTTGCCTTTAGGATAGATAGAAACAGAACGATATGCATTAATGTCATGCATATTGCCAACTAAACACCACCAATTCACTGAAAATGTAATTTTAACTGATTAGTTTCTTTTAAATCAGGTAATCATGACAGGCCTAAAATGCAAGTTGCCATAAAGCCATCAAATTCTGTCCAAAAACAAATAAAAAAGAGCAATGATTCATAATGCTTTATTCTCAGCAGATGGTCAGACAAACAAAAGTTCTGACTAAACCACAAACCAGGTCTGTGTCCTGTCTGTCCGTGTCCACAGCTGTCCTGCTGTGGGAGATGGACTTAAGCTCTCATATCCCGAGCAGCTCTAAGGCACTTCCACACCCAAGGCTGCTCTACATTCCTAAATATATGTTGTGTTTGTTTGTGTTTGGCTGTGTTTCCGGCATTCAGACAAATTTCCCACGTCATTTTCTCAGCCTCCCACAGACAAACCTGAACTCTGCTGAGAACTTCCTGCTCTCATACACATGCAGAGCAGTATGATACAGACAAAATACTGTGATTATTGCTGCATACAGCAGCTGAGTAATGCCTCAGTATATTAAAAACACAACGATGAACCTCTGATGGGACATTTGGCTGCACTGTTCTGACTAAAATGATTTGATTGATGAACTGTTTGATTCATCCAAACAACAAACACTCCTCAATCATCTGAGGTTGGTCGGGATGCTCACAGCACACAAACCACAAACAACTTTGTGATTTGCTACAGCATACTGTGTATGTGTCACATTCCAACACTGTCGTATGAAAGTTTTTTTTAAAAAAAAAAAAAAACATTTGAGAATGCCAGCTGCCATTAACATTATGTGAAATGGTCAGAATGGTGGTAAATTTCTTGGAGGAAAAAAAACACTTAAAAACATATGATCATATGCAAAAGTTTTAACACCCCTGGGCAAGTTACATGTTTTGTTGATTTTCTAAGTGAAAATAAGTTAACACATCCTCTACAGAGAATAAACTTAAATATTACATTTTTCTGCAAATTTTCTTTCTTTTTTTTTGATTTCTGTTTAGATGCTGAGTCTAGCATATTGGAAAAAATAAAACAGAAATGTGCCACAACTTTTACACAGGCCATATTTTATGGTTTTTTTTTTTATCCCCATATGTTAAATTCAGCAAACAAACAGTAATTGTTCATTAAAATGTACATAGGTGTGTTCCCTTTAGTGGATGTGGTCATTTTTAGTTGTTAAAAAAACAAGCCAGGGGAGCACAAACTTTTGCATTTGACTGTACATTACAGTTAAGACTGTTTTTTATTTTTCTTATAAACTGAACATTTTGAGGGCTCATGAATAGCACTGCTGTGTAAGTATTCACCTCTTTATTGGGAGATTGCCAGTTCCATCCCAAGTGTTGAGAGACGACAAGATTGACCCCCAGCTATGCCACAGTCCAAGATCTTACCGTCCCTCTACCATCCATCACTCAGCGCAATGCTAGCCAACATGGGTGTCTGTTAGGGCAATTTCACACCTACTTTGTTTGGTGAAGACCTATTTTTTCTTTAGTCTAGACCATTTTGAGGGCGGGTGTTCACACCTGTCAGGTCCACACCAAACAACTGAAACGTGGTCCGGCAAAAATCATGGGTCTCAGCCAGGTACCAAGTGAACCCTGGATCAGCCCACTGCTGATGGGAACATATTTTTACAATGGTCCGCACCAGCAGCATGTCAGCGCTGTACTGGCCACATATTCCTGCCTGTCCTAAAATCTGACTGTTGACAAACACTCATATCTTTCTTGCAGTTACTACTAATAACGGCAGACAAGCAATAAAATAACAGCAGAGATATTTGATTTAAGCACATGGATTGTGGAACACATATTTTGCCAAGCTTCAGTGGCTAAATTCAAACTGACAAACCAATCTTAAAGAAGCGAATATCGAGTAATGTTTATCATAAGTGCTTTGACAGTGATGCATGTGACTTTTTACATCTCTATTTTCTATGCTCCAATTTTAATGGAGGCAAATGTGAGAGTAAGAGTGCGCTTGTATTCCTGCAAAATTTCTGACCAACACCCACATGTGTAATTTGGTGCACTTTACCCTTTGCAGTGCGAAACCAACTGAACCAGATAAAAAAAAGATATAGCCCAAACTCTGGTGCAGACTTTTAAAAATGAACTACTGTGAAAACAGCCTTAGATGACATAACAGAGTTAGCAGCTTATGTTCCAAGTTTAAAAAGATGCAGAAGCTAGCTTCGTTCTTCTTGGAGAAGGCACACGCTGGCTTTCACCCTTCTTGCCTGGTAGCATTGTCTAATAGGGGCATCTAACTAGAGAATGGAAGTTGGCCAAGACTAAAATTGGTGAGAAAACACTTGTAAAGGCAAATATATATTGTGCAGCCCTGACTGCCAACAGCCTGAAATTGAGGGAACAGCCAGCAGAAGCAGAGCACTCTAATTTCACAATTCATCTGAGGAGAATACACACTCACCTGGGGCAGGATTAGCACTGAAGATCTGTACAGAGCACGAGATACTGGGGGAGGAAAGCCTCGGACACACTGCTCCTCGCTGCTGGAAAGAGGGAGAGTGAGAAAGAGGTGTAAGGAGCTGTTGGTAGAGAGAAGAGAGGGAGTGCGAGAGCGAAAACACTAGCTTTTGTGCCAGATTCTTGTCCGTGTCCTCACATGGACTGGAGACAGAAACGTATTGGCTGAGAGAAGAGCCTGTGGGGCTTTGACACGGCACAGCTTCACATTCTTCAAAACTGTGCTAGAAGAGAGTCCAGCATGAGTAAATCCTAATAACTTCATCATGCACCTAAAAGCCCTCCCTGCATAACTGCGACCCGAAGCAGAGCCGGCCAGTGTCGGACATGCAGCTTGTTCCTTTTCTAGTCTCACATCTCATGAGTCATATTTCCATTAAAACTGATGAGTCATGGTGCTGATGGTGCTGAGGTTAACCGCTGCTTTGACCTCAATCTGAGACGAGCGTCTTCCACTCATTCTGTATGGCACAGCTGACACCCCTACATACACGTGCAGAAAGAGAGAGAGTGCGAGAGAGAGAGAGTGCGAGAGAGAGAGAGAGAGAGAGAGAGAGAGAGAGAGAGAGAGAGAGAGAGAGAGGGCCCACAGAGAGGAATAATGCTATATAAGGTCTTGGTTTCTCAGCTCTAAGTGTTTAGAGACTGTTTACTCCCTGCTCTCTTTCATATGTCCTTTTTAAGAGTGCTCCTCATGCCCTGGAGCCTCCCTGGTGCTGCGCTGTGGCCGGCTGCTAGAGAGGATGAGCTCTGCTAGAAAGATGTGTAGGTGGGACTTGGCCCCCTTAAACTGCAGGACCACTATTCAGTTATAAATTTTGAGACTTTGAGACTTCTATTCAGTAGTTACTATGTATTAATCAGTAACTACTATAAATTACACAGTACCTACTAGGGTATAATCTATGGTTTATTGATCGCAATACAGGACTTTGGTATACGGATACTGCGAACAGCTGCAGTATACAAACAAGTGTTCTAACCAGTCACAAACGTTTTACTGTGTGCTGTGAGCATTTTGACCGATCACAGTTCCTGACGAGTTTCTGAGACTGTTTTGATTCCCACAGTTCAACAAATGTAAACAATTCTGATCAAAATAAGGGAAGGGGCCGATGGTTAACCATGTCACTTTAAGGGTCTAACCATGTGTAATAAAACATTGTTAAGGTTTTTCATGCCTATTATGCTGGCCTGGTAACTACGGATTGGCAATATGGCAAAAATAATATATCATATTAAAATATAAAACATCTTCTTCATACATAATCACAATATTTCATTTTTCTTGATAAGGCCTGATAAGATGTAACAGACACACAATTAACCAGCAAAAAGGGTCAACACTTGAAATGTAATCAAAACTGTGAATATATTGCTTATCATTTCAGCCAATGTTCATCACTACATTCAATTGAAAAGGGTCAATTTGGCTCTCACTGACTACTGGTCTTCTGGTCTTCCACAAATTAAAATTCCTAATCCTCCAGCAATAGGGAGAAACCTTAGACAGGCATGCCACTTGGTCCCTATTAAATCTGTTAATGAAACATGCAGGTGGTTCTTTAAATACTGATTATATCCATGAAATGCTCAGAATACATCACGAAGTGTGGGCACTCAAGGCCTATTCATACCCATTTAAATGAGACCAGTCATGCTGTCAGTCTTCATCCATTTTGTAGCCCTCTAAACAAACACTCAGAATAAAATTCATGGCACTTGCGGTGTAGCACCAGAAATACTAAACAGTTTTAATTCAGAATCTAGAAAGCCTGATTCCCTCATCTCCCAAAGTTCATCTGCATTGTTTCAGCATGGCTATATCGGCACTGCCCGGCATGGCCATGCCCCCTCTCCTACTGCGAGTTAAGCACTGCTACTTTTGGTAAGGAGTGATGCTTCCTGCTAAAATCCTTTACTATGAGTCAGTCAACATGCCAACTAGTGTTGCTGAAGAATGCACGGTAATAAAATGTCTTCATCACGCACTGCTGAAAGACTGTGAAAACAGGTAACGAGTGGTCAGCTGCTATAAATAACGAACTTCAGCAAAAACACAGCATCAGATGAAATGACCTTAAGTGTGTTCAAAACACTAAACTAGACTATTTCAATTAGGATGCAAAGTCTGGATCAAATCGAGACTGGAGTTGGCTCTTTCTGTGACCACTACCGACAAAATCATCACTAAAAGTGAAAAACCAGAGCCAAGACAAGGCAGTCTGGCTGGAACTCTTAGTTAACAGTAACTGAGTTAGCGTTGCTGACAAACCAGACAACCAGAAAAAGTACTCGCTTGATAACACTGCAAAATGTTTGTCTCAACTCGGCAAAGCTACCTGAGGTAAATTACTATTTCATTTATACGCTGATTTTCTAGACTCAAGTCTGTGTTTTCCCCTTGCACTGCAGCCTGGCTCGCTGTTTGTGCTGTCTTCTCTTTGTCACCTCCTGAGCGAATTGTGATTAAATATTTGGTTTCAAGGTCATTTCAAATTGAATGTTTTATATTCTACCATTACCAATTCTGAAAACGTAAATGCTTCGCTAGACTCTGTCATATCAAAAATATATACTGCTGTGGCTAATTCTGTATTTTCGGTTGAACAGACTGTTTCAGTATGTGAGTTGGAAGGAAACAGGTTAGTGGACAGATTATTTCTCTTTGAGAGTTTGAAGGGGTTGAGCTGGTGACTAAGAGTGTACAGATCACGCATGTCATGCAGCTGCAGTGATTCTTGGGGCAGAGCCCTCTCTCTGTGTTTAAAACATGTCCAATAACATCACTGGTACAGTTTTTTCCTCCCACTTTACCCTCTGAAATGGCTTTGATGGTAAACCATGTCTTTTCAAACATCTGGCTTGATGCAGCAGCATCTGACAATAAAAAATAGCTTAACATGACTTGTTTAACATAGCAAAACCTTCACATCAAGTGTTATGCACTTTATCTAAAACACTCTGAGAACTTGGGAAGGAGACTGAAGAGGAAGAAGAAATGGATTCCCCAAGTAGTGGTGACGATTCCCCAGATTTTCAGCTATAGTAGATATATATTTTCTCTAACCACTGCATTTTTATTGTCAATGTGTTGCTTGTCATATAAGCTTTAGTGCTCTGCCACAAGCAAAATGAGCTGTTTTGCCACCATGGTGATGCACATTTTCTTGTACTGCAACCATGACAACGGAGCTCAGATTGGTCAACCTGATTTTTGGGCTCGAACTGAAAGACTGCACTAAAATAAGTGTGTTCATTTGCAAAACTTGATGTGTATTTTGCTTCATCACTCAGTGCAAACAGGCCATTAGAGTTTAAGTGATTGAGGCATGAAGGTTTATTGACATGGAGTGCTGCTCAGGAGTAGCAGTGGAGCAGGACGCGAGGCAAGCTGTGGCCTGCTCTGGATTTTCTATTAGCTTCTGGAGCTCTACCCACCCTGCATACATACACTGGACACACACACATCCATCACAGTGTCAGGAAGTCCCACCTCACTCCCCATCCCTCCCTCTCTCTTTCAATTTTACTTCAAATCGCTAGGGGTGTCTTCTTCTGAATGTGAATCACATCAATGTTCCCTCTTGTGCTCATCCATCTCTCTCCCTTTCTCTCTCATATTTTGCTGATCCCTCACCCTCCCTCTCTCTCTCTCGCTTTCTAATGGGCATGACAGAGGCCCATTGAGACTCAGCGGGAAGGGAGAGGAACTCTATCGCTCTCACTGCAGCTTGATTAGCCTCGCAGTAGATAGGAAGGAAAGGGAAATAAACGGCGCTCATCGAGCTCGCTCTCTCTCTCCATCCAACGCCTTTTCCCCTCGGACGGGATGGCTTCCTCCGTGACTAACGGCCGAGACGTTTCCGAAGCCTAAATGGCTCCATATGCTCATCAGTCAAACATTTACTGGTCTGAAAAACGCCGTCTCCCACGCGGCACGGCTTCATTCCACCCGTACGCAGAGAGCCTGTGGGCTGGAGAGGCCCTAAGTCATGATGTGTGCAGCTCACACTTTCCTGATCAGGTGGGAGAGAGCGAGAGGGGGGCTTATGTAAGGATACTCTGATCTGCTGCTACAGAGAAAACACATTTAACACTCACAGCCTACACAGGCAATTAACACAAACCCACCTGACCCTTCTCCCAGCCTACTCAGTCAGATCAGCCTACAGCATCTACTGCTGAACATCTTGGATTCATATGCTGAGAGTGGTTTTCTGAAGGCAGGTAATATGATTACAAACAATTCTGAAAAAACTAATCAGGGTGGGCATGATAGCAGTAGGAGAGGTGAGCTAGCAACCAGACGGTTGTGGGTTCAAAATCCAAGATGGACTGAGTATACCTGGTTGTGCCCTTGGGAAAGGCACTTCACCCCCCACTGCTCCAGGAAGCACTGCTCTTCTGGTGGTGGTGCTGTGCTGCTCCCAGACTGTGTACAGCTAGTCAGGAAAGGTACATAACAAAATACAAACCTGTATTTTCTAGTTTATTTATATACTGTGTCAGCCGTTTATGTTGATTATAGAACAACACTGATGCATCATTTAAGTGTTGCTTTAAAAGGAAAGCACTATGTAATGTTTATATGATGCACACAGTCATCACTGCAGTTCACCACAGGAAGAACTGGGGGCTATATGGCTTCTACCCGTTCACAGCCCTGTAAAAGATGAAATCTTCCAAAGAACAGATCAATCTGTGACCAGGCGTGGAAAAAGTATAGAGAAACTGTACTTAAGTAAAAGTCTGAGTACTGCATCAAAATCGTACCCAATGAAAACAGAGGTACTTGAGTGCAAGTTAAAAAGTATGGACATTTAAAAACACTCAAGTACATAAAAGTAAAAAGTCACTGTTAGATAAAATTAAGAGGCAGGACATTCAATTAAATCAATAATTAAAGTAACTTTAAGGCTGGATACGCGATGATCACTCTCTACTTTATCTAGACATTGCACTCCTGCTCCTCATCTTCCTCAGCAGATTGAACCACAACTGTGACTGTGACCAGGCTGAGTGT